CTGAAATGGATGGCATTTTGCAGCACAGAAAGAGAGGCTTGATACTAGCATCACTGTGGAGAGGTCTGGGGGCTTCCAGGAGCACAACCCTGACCTGAAGTTAAGTTTTGCTGTGGAAAACAAGTGCCCTTTCACGTTCTGTTTTGTGTATCCAGGTGGATCGCCTACGAGGGGTGCAATTTTTTAGGGAAGCAGATTCTGCTGGAGCCCAGGGAGATTTCAAACTGGAGTGAACACAGTGGCTGGAAAGTGATTGGCTCCCTTCGTCCTGTGAAGCAGGTAAGACTTGAGTGAGAAAAAGGGGTTTTATGGACAGGGTTTTGTGCACAGGGATCAGTTCTACCAGCAAGCACATTGGGGTGTGTTGTACTCCTTAAATCAGGCCAGGTGATGACAGCCAGAAGGACCCACTGGAAGATTGCTGAAGCAGAAAATGTCTCTCATGGCAGTCATTGAGATCTATGTTAGGTTCCTAAAGGGAAATAATTCCCAGTTTCTTGGAGCCAAGTTTTGTTTTTCTTAATTGCTCATTAGCATGTTCTGTGGATGCTCTATTTTTACAGTTTTGCCATATAACAATATAATGAGAAAACCAATTTCACACTGCCTTGTTTCATAATTAACATAAATGGAAGCAAGAGTGAATTTTATTGTGCTGTAGCCTGGATTTCCAAAAGAGGCAAAGCTATGCAGTTCCCATCAGGTTTTCCCATCTCTGCCTCACCCCAGGTGATTCTAATTTCAGTCTCATTCAAAGGTTCAGGTCTCTAAACCACAAAGAGTAACCAGACACTCTGCTTATGCAGGTTTTGTTTATGGATGTTTGGTGGGAGAGAGGCCTTATTGTCTGTAGCTAAGGGTTTAATATGGAAAAAAAGGGAGATTTAAAGCTTCCAGAAAAAAAGCTGTGCTGGAGCTGGGGCTTCCAGAAAAAAAGCTGTGCTGGAGCTGGGGTTCCAGCAGTGCTGCCCTTTTAACTCCCTGCTCTTTATTTGCACTGAAACCAGTGAATAACAGAGCAAAAGCTCAAACCCTGCAGTAGCCCTCCAAAATCCTCTTTATTTTTTGAGTAAATCAACAAACAGGGATACCAGGTCAGTGCCCTGTTTTCCATGTGTGTTCAAAAACAGTGGTGTATCTCTCTGCCATATATTCCAGTGAGGGCTGAAGTTGCTGCATGTGTAACTCTGGAAATTTTGTGTCCCAAGAATTAAAAGCTTGCGGAGTAGAGTCCCTTTACTGCCCTTGGAATGAGTGAAATGTGCTGAACTAGGCATCTTTGCAGATCACAGGAATTAGTTCTGTAGCCATAATTACATTTTTTTTTAAAAAAAAACCCCTATCTTCCATTTCTGTTTATAGCTGCTGATCTGCATGTGTAAAACCACTTACTGTACTTCACATGCACGTTTGTTTCCAACCAGAAAATTACTGAACATCCTCAACTGAAAACAAAAACTGAACACAGAGTTTAGAGGACTGATGGAGGGGAGGGTGGTGGAGGGGAGGCCCTCTCCCATCGATTTGCTTGATCTCTGTGTTGTAAATCTCTCCCCTCACCCCCTGCAGCCAGCAGTGTACCTGAGGGTGAGGAACAGGGCCCAGGGGAAGTACCTGACCGTGGCTGGGAGCCTGGCAGACATCAGGGCGACCTCGGTGTGCGCGGCCCCGCGCAGCGGCAGCAGCTCCCAGCTCTGGCACTACTGCCAGGGGCTCTTCAAGTCCAAGGTGAGCTTCAGAGTGATTTTCTATTAATGCTGCCCTTCATGGCCTGCTATTAATATTAAAAAAAACTAATGGTTTAACATTAAAAAAATAAGGAACAAAGACCACCGCCTTCGATCAAGCAGCTGGCTGCGTGTTGAATAATCTATTCCTCGCTTGCTTCCCAGGGTTTTACCAACTACAGCACGATTTACTGCCATATGCTCAGTGCCTGAGACAAGTCAGGCACAAAACTGAGGCTCTGTGCCCTGGATCTCACTGCTCTCCTTGTTTCTTAGGCCAACAATGCCTGTCTGGATGTCATTGGGGGCAGAGACGTGCCTGGGGCCAAAGTTGCGCTCTGGACAGAACATGGGAAGGACAGGCAGAAGTGGAGACTCAATGAGGATGGCACCATCAGTTCATACCTCAGTGAGCAACTGGTGCTTGATATTAAAGGTATTTAAAAACAAAAAACTCTATACCTCACAGGTTTTAAGTGTGTTTTTTGATAAAGGTTAGCTTCCATACTCCAGGTTTGAGGAGGTCAGAAACTCAATCCTACCTTTCCTGTCCAGTTGCTTGACAGTGGGACAAGAAGTAGCAGGGCAGGGAGGAACCTTTCTCTTTTGATTCCAGAGGTTTACTTTGATCAGATCAGTGGTTGTGCTTTGGGGAGTTAAGTAGTGCAGATGGCAAGAAGTGCAAGTTACAGAAGACAAAATGGTGAAGGAAAATCAACCACAGAATAGCTCAAAAAGAGAAAAGGAGTTGAAAAAAGAAGGCTGGTTAAAATTGTCATTGCTCAGTTGTAGACACCAGCCCCCTACCTCATGGAATTCCTATTTTTCAGCTGATTTTCCTACTTAGTCACACTTCTCAAAGATTGTGATAATTTTTAGGAGTATTTCTTTAAAAACCTTTTCCTTCATGACTTCCTTTTGTTTTTAAGGAGGAAATTACTACGACAAGAATCACATCATTATGAATCAGCCAATAGAAAACAAATCTTCACAGAAATGGGATATTGAAATACTGTGAGTAAAATCCACCCCATAGATGGGCTTTTTGTGGGCTACCAACATCTAGAGGGGAAAAAAGAAGCGAACTACTGAAGTCACACACCACTGGAACCGTAAGCAGCAGCTCCTCTCTATTTTCCTTCATGCCAAGCACCAGCTCCTAAAAGAACTGAATTTTGCACAAATCTGGAAGATTGGGAGGTTGATCCAATGTCTCTCTGCAGAGAAGCTGATTCTGCAGAGGCTGTTCCTGTGAGAGTCACCATTACTCTTCCTCTGAATTATGAAAGGTAAATGCAAAAGAGCAGGCAGAGGTTCTGCAGCATGGGAAGTGCAAGAGATTATGGGGGAAAGGCTCTTCAGAAATGCTGTGTCTTTACCTTCCTCTCACACTGCTGGAAGCTCACTGAGGAGTGAATGCACTGATGAGCTTCAAGGAACTTGAGTTGGGCTTTTATGTCCCAAGTGAAACTGTTTAGGCTCCAAGCGATCCTGAATCACGTCTCTCATTAAGATGCAATTGATTTTGTTGATAAAGACACCTTTGAACTGGAATTCCAGCTCAGCATGTGAAATGAAGCAATACAGGGGCCTTTCACCCCCTAAATGATGCTGGTAAGCCTTTAACAACACCAAATTTCCAGTTTGGCAGAAAGCAGCTCACCGTGGCAGGTATTTCCAAAGTGCCAGCAGCCTGCATTCCAGGGCTGGCTCCGTGTTCAGCGTGGCACCAAGGACAGCTGATGCTCCAGAGCTTGGTGTGCCAGGGCTCTCCTCAATTTCCACACTATGCAACCACAGCTATTGCTCCAGCAGAGCCAGAGACCTCACTCACTGCAGCTGGTGCTTCAAAAGCTTTTTCCTGGCTCAGTGCTGACCAATCACAGCCCCAGGGAAGGCTGTGAGCACCTGAGATGGAAGAGAAGTCCCTCAGCTCCCTGGCTTCAGCATCACTAAATTAATCTTCATTGAAAATATTTTTTTTTCCAGCATTTGTATATTCAGGGTATGTATTTCTAGGACTATTTAAAGAGTTCAAGTTAGCTGAAGATATTTGAGATTCCGAAAGCTCTGCCAGCTGTGCACTCAAACAGGATCATCCCCAAACAAAGACACAGCTCTAAGCTTGCCATAGAAATAAAATATATGGATGTCTATTTTTGTATGAAATAGAGTTCTAAATAGTACTATTTAAAAAAAAAATCTACTTGCACTTACTATTTTACATTCTAAAATGATCATAAATCTGCTGTTTGAGTAACAGATCCTCAACTGTATGTATATATTTTTTCAACTGAAGCACTTGTTAAGCTTTTTTCCATACAAGTCAGTACATCAAGTGTTCTGCATGTGACTTTCCATATGAAATTTTAAAAGCCTGTGTAAAAGTTGTAGTTTTTTAAATGAAGAATGACTAAATCATACTTGGTGTCTCAGTGTTACATAACAAAGTAAAGCAGGCTTTTGTACTTAAGAGACCTTGAATGTAAAATGCTAAAGCATGTATATTTTAACTGCATAAAACTTTTTAGGAGAAACATTTTGCTGGTTGGTTTCTTTTTAAATGAAGTAAATAATAGTTTTCAGTAGCTGTTGAGCATATTCCAGTAAAACATTTTTTCTCCAGTGTCCAAAAGAGGGGGATAAGTATATTGAGTATGTGGCTGTGCTGTTACATGAGATTGCATATTAAAAATCAATGACATATTAAAGTAACTGCACCAGTCTCATCAAAACCCACTCAAGTGAATATTGAAGATAATAGATTCCAGCTACAGGTTTTTGGGTTACTTTCACTTGAAATTGGTGCTGGGGGAGGCAGAGGATAAATATTATTGTTTATTCCAGGGATGGCAGCATCTGAGGCAAAAGGGGTTTTTCTTGGGCAGTCTTCCCGCTGTGGGCACAGCACAGGCAGCTTTTACCAGTAAGCTTTTGTTCTGTCAGGGCAATCAAAGAGATTTTCCTGCTGATGAACTTTACAAATGAAAAAAACAAGTTAATGTTTTATGCCCAAGGTTTTGGAGCCTGCTCCATGTATAACTTGAGCTATCCTCCAGCAGCTCTCCAGAGGGAAAGGGACGCCACAGCACTGGGGGCACTTAGAAGTGACTTCATCCAGCCACAGCCCTGGAGCTGTGGCTCACTTACCTGTTTTTCCCCATGCCCAGTTTTCCAAAAGTATGGAAGGACATTTAACATTTGGCACCAGAAAGCAGCAAAGTACAGATATTGATTGCAATGCTTTGTTAGCACTACAAACCAGAGGCTGGATGGATTAAAAAAAAACTAATTTAATAAACCTTGTTCTCAAGAGATGCTTAATAGCCAGGAGCAGCTAATTCATAGAAGCATCAAAGAACTTCAATCAGACATTCAGTCCAGAGTGACAAGGCAAGGTTTTCTTTCTCTTCATCTGAGGTAAGGTTAAGCTCTTTAACATTAACAGTGCTGCTACTCCAGATCTGCCTCAGTGCATCCAAGTATGACAAAGGGAACCGCAGCCCGTGAGTCTGCTGGGGAAAAAGAGACAGGAAAAAACCCTTCAGCAAAGTGCAGTGACTTTATTACCCATCAGTGTGTGTGAGGGAGCAGCAGGAGCATGCTCCATTCCCACAGCACACTGGAGTTCGTGAGAGCAGCCTCCCAAAGATAGTTTTATCCAGACCTATTTTACTCTGAAGTAACTCTTCCATGCTGTAGCACACAACAAGGTAGGGATGTTTATGGTACATGTGACTTCCACACAGAAGAAAAAAAAATTTTAAATTTACCCTCTTGCCTAACCCTACCCATTATTTTACAGCAATGTCACAGAGCTTTATTTCTAGCTGACACATGCAGTCTTTGGGCACAGAAGCCCAGAGGACCTTCATTCCCAGGACTCTTGTTTAAGGGCAGGAAAGAAGGCTGTGCATGTGCTGCTCAGGTGCCAGTGTCCAACCTCAGCTCCATAGGAATGGTGAGATTTACTTCAAAAGGAAAATAACTGCCAGGCAAAAAGCATTGCAGCAATGGCCAAGCCAAGGCCAGGCTCTGCTCTGCTCTGCCTCTTTGGAGGAGCTGTGCAGACCTGAATTACATGGTAGAAGAGTGAGTTCTTTACTCCCAGTGCTGACCTGCCCCGGGCTGAAGTGAGCAGCCCTGCACAGGGTGTTCCAGTGGATACAGGAGCTAACACAGGTTTCACGTGTCAGAAATGAGGTGCAGTGATCCCCATGGAACATGTGCAGCCTCAGACACGACCTGCTGAAGGACACACAAAGTAAGAGATGCTTTTAGTTGCTCCAGCAGCTTTGTTAACTGGCCCAGAGGGCATGCACAAGATATCCCACAGGCATCTCAAATGTTTAATTAAGCATGAGATCACATTACTTAGTTCTCCTATTCACAGCCTGTGTTGCAGCTTCAGCTCATCCAGGTACTCTGGGAACAGGTTGAAAAGCTCTGGGTGCTGAAGAACACAGCCAAACCCAGGGCAAGATAAATTTTGGGGTGCATTTGCAGGAACAAACCTGTGCCAGGCCATCCTCACTGGCAGTGTCATCCTCTCTCCCCATCATGTGAGTTTCTCTCCTGTTCTTTAAGGAATGATACACATAAACCATCTCTCTGCGAATTTCATCCTGAAAGACAGCAGGAAGAAAATGGTCACAAGTGATCCACACCCTCACACTCCCCTCACTCCAGTGCCAGCTCCTTAATTCCAGAGGCCACTCTTACAGCAAGGACAGCAAGTCACCTTCTCAAATGAGTGATCCAGCAGCCACCTCCCACAGCAAGAAGGGACTCTCCAAAACACCTCTGCAAATTTATATACAACTTTCTGCCTTAAAACTGCTCCTGCTGGAGTCACAGGACTGATGCTGTGTAGAAAACAGGCCCTTTAAGGCACCTCTCCTAAGAAATCCTAATGAACAGGTGTGCATCAATAATCTCCAGTCTGAGACTGATCTGTCTTAAAAAATCACATGTCCATTATCAACCCTTGGTAAAGGCTGCAAATCAGTTGAAAAAAAAATTGGAAAAAAAGGGTTTCCAAATCCAACACAGTATCACAGCAATATGGACACAAATAAAATGGAGGTAAAAAATCAAAGTTCTGGTATGTTTTTCTTGGAGGGAAACATTCCACTCATTTAAAAAAAACCAAAAAAACCACACCAAACTTTTACAAGATAACACACACAGAAAATGGATTTCCCCCCCACACCCATTTTTTTTTAAATTAAGATAAAAAAGCACTTCTATAATTTCATACTAATAAACTTCCACAGATAAGCAGCAGTGTAAACACAGGATGATGCAAGATGCCAGTATCTATGTTGTGGAACAACTTTTAAGTGCCACTGTCACCCACTTTAGGTACAGGGATAACTCAGTAGTGAAGACTAAATGCAACCAAGATTATTCCCTTTCTTCAGGAACCCTAATTTTATAACTTCATGTTCTTAAATACAAGGAATTAAAAAAAAAAAAATCTATTACTCATTTGCCATTTTAGCTGTTGTAATGACCTACCCCCTGTGATTCAGATAAAAGGCATGCAGAATCACTGAATATAATTCTGTACCTCCCTCCAGAAGGCTGGAATGTACTCAGCAAACAGCCCCAGGATCTCCTAACAGCAATAATGGGATGCAAGATCCAACCAAGCAGAACTGCACAACCCTTTCAGTCCAACAGAGCAACAATGTCTCCCACTCCCCACCCCAGGCATACAAGGGGGGCTGCTTACACTTACAGCATTCTCTTGATCTGGTTCCACAGTGATGATAGCATGGTCTCTAAACTGCAGTCTGATTTTGCTATTTATTTTTGGCAATTTCCCACCTAAGAAGAATAAATTCACTCTTAGAGAAGGAAGAAAACCAGACATGATACAAATTGAGCTCCCTGTGCACTACCTGTTCTCTCACAGACAGATTTTTTGTTAACCAGTGTTTGCACAGCCACAAGTTCTCAAACTTGTGGTGGAAGGAGAAATGAGAAAGATGTTTTAATTCTAGGATAACCTTTATTTCAGTCTAAGGGAAATGGGTCATATCTCCCACTGGGAAATGGCCAAGAGAGGAGTGCAAACACACACACACAGAGCCAGGCACCACACAAAGCTGGGCCTGGACTCTGATCTTGGCCTACCATTAAATGCCAGAAGTTTTAAGAGGCAGACTTAGATGCTACCAGCACATCAGCCAGTTTTGGGAAGTTCAAACTCTACCTGGAGTCAAAGCATCAGAGTCACATCCCAAGTATGGTGGCAACCGGTGCATAATGAAATCCTTCTTCAAGTCGGATGATCTCAGTTCCCTGGAGTTCTCCAGACTGTCTGCAAGCCTTCTCAGAAGGCTGCTCAGCTTTTTGGTGCAGTCAGCTGTGTTCACCTGCTAAACATACACATAAAGAATACAAGCTGAACAGACCAGGCCTAAAGCAGTGCAGCAAAGCAGTGAAAATCTGGACACTCCTTAGTCTCAAACCAAGCTTTGTTTCTTTTACACATTCCCCACGAGCTGTTCACGTGTCACAGCTGAAGCTCACTCTCCTTGCTCTGGGGCTAAAGGACTTGCAAGTGCAGCTGAAGAAAGCCTTGTTCCTCCTGAGCTGAGCAGCAGCAGGACAGGACCACCATAAGGAGGTCACACAACAATTCTCAGCTTCACTGACTTAAAGACTCAGAAGTCTGGTCTGACAGAACTTTTTCTGTCTGACAGATCACCTGGAGGCACCATCACTCCCTGAGTCCCACCTACTCACCATGAGCAGTTGCCTTGGAATGCCTGTCCGCAGCGCCACGTCCTCTTTTGCTGTATCAAACACCAGGCCAGGAATTGCATCCAGTAAGAAGTCTCCCCAAGAGCTGAAGGACAGGAAGAAAAACATAAATTACTGAAATAGTTGCACTAAAATAAAACAGACATCCTGCTTTTTTTTTTCCTAACTAGCGTTAAGATGTAAAACAATTATTGTAGTCTTTTTTATCACATCTACTCAAATATTTCACTGCCTGCTACCCAGTGGGAAAGAACGACTCTGGCCAATAAAAGGAATTGGGCATCTACTTAGTGTTTTTCTTGCCCCTAGTTTCCATCTGCCAGCAAATGTCTTCAGCTACTCACTGATTTTCCAAACTGCCCTGCTTATCCCACACAAGCACATCTCTCTGCCTGCTGCGATCTGCTCCAGACAAACTGCTTCAACAGAGATGTCCCTTTTGTCTTGGTGCCTAAAAACACCTGGAAGTGCCACCTTCCCAGCTATTGCTATTTTTAATTCTCTTCAATTTTCCAAGGAAACGTTTCCACATCATACTTCCATCTACAAGCCAAATCAAAGCACCACGACTGCTGCTTATTTTACCTAGGCTTGCTGACAGCAGGGGCAGAGGAAGGCTCTTACACTTCACTGCCAATAACCTTAAAGGATGATGATTCCACTTTTTAACCTTGGAAGAAGAGTAGTCTTGAAGCTTTTCCTGCTCCTCTGCTCACCCATGACAGACATCCCCAGGGAACGTGCTCCTGACAAGTCACGCACTGGACCGGCCTTGGGCTCCTGCAGCCATGGAGAAACTGCAGTGACTCCACATGAGGCTGCAGATCTCCAGCAAATCCCATTACAAGGAGCTGAACCCTTGGCTTCCCATCACTGCTTGAACAATAATTCCACACAGATCCAGCTGGACAAACCCTGCTGTGCACACTGGCCACAGGAAGAGTGGCCAGCAGCACTGACATCCTGGGCCTTCCACAGTGGCACAGCTGGTGGTTAGAGATTCATCCCACAGTTAGCTAAAATATGCCCAAACTTGTTCTGCCCTGTTTTGCAGCTAACAAATCCTTCCCAATTCCTGAATTAGGCCAATAACTCCAAGCCCAGCACCTGAGAGCTGATTAGGCAGCAGCAGCATTTTTTCCCTGTGTGATAACAATGTTTCAATGCAGGGACCAGGACCTGACCTGTGTCTAAAGAAATCTGACTCTCATGTATGGGGTAGAAAATTAAAAACACAGATTAGCAGAGAATATCTGCATGGAAGAATCTGTCAGAAGAGGTGTGGGTGACCATCAGATACAGGAGGAAACCTGATGAAGGGAATAACTCACAACTCTTTATCTGGATTATGAAATGAACAGCAACTGCAGCCACTGGTGAGGGGTTTTTTTTAAAAAATAACAGTGAGTTTGCAGTTGTAACATTATCTTCCACATTAAAGTCTCCAGCTGGTAAATAATAAATAAAGCAATTAAAAAGCAATCAAGCTTGCTGCATGAAAACCTGGCAAAAAGGCTGCTTCAAACAACAATGGTCTCGTTCTCCTCCTTCCCCCAACCTTCAAAACTTCAATTACTGCTACCTCAACACTTAAATTCTGTCCCTAACAGCAGGGCACCTATGTAATAGCGGGGTATCTACCTATATTCCACATCACCACACCTCTGGGGGGAAGCTAACTTGCCCTGTCCCTGTAATACCCACAGGCAAACACAAACCACACAAGGGCTGAATAGTATGAACACAAAAAGACCCAAGCAAAGCTCATTACAAGGTTATTCTTTTTTTTAAGAAACAGGACATCACTTCCTTGAAACACCAGCTTCAGGTCTCTCCTGTTCACACACATCATCTGGCAGAGGAAAGCCATACAAAACAAGAAGTAAAGGGGAATTACTTGTTTTGGTAGGTGCTGATGGTCACATGTGTGGAATAGGAGATCCCATGAGGAGTGTCAGCCTGGTGAATAGTTCCTCTTGGGAAGTACAGTAAGTCACCTGGCTGCAGGAAAATGAAAGAGAATTGATACATTTAGGCCACTTGGTCAAACCTTACTGTAGTCCAGAGAAAATACTCTCTGAGCAGACAGACTGACAATATATATTCTTTAAAAATCACAAAATTGAGCAATTCTCCAATGTACACTTCAATAACATAAAGCACTCTAAGCCAGAAGTCCAACACCTCAAACTTTCCAACCTACTGTCAGTATTTTCTCTACACCTGTCTGCAAACATGAGCTTTTCACATGGTAGGACATGCACAGTTCTGCTGAGCTGCAGGAAGGGGAAAAAGAAGCAGCTGAGATGAATCTGGTGGTAATTCAGTGCCCTGGGTATGTGGTTAGATCATACCCAAAAAAAAGGCCAGTGTTTCACAAGGAAAGTCAGATAGCCTGAAAATTTTAGTTAAAACACTTAAAAAAACAAGTAGAACCTTCCTCCTCCCCTGTCTTCTCACCAGTGTAAATTAAGTATCTCCACAGAAAATAATACAGATTGAGGAAGACAAGAAAAAAGTGCAAAGCACATGAAATTGCCTCCACAAAGGAAAGATCAGTTCACTCATGGCTTATCCTATAAACCCCAGCACAAAGAGAAAGGTCATAAATCAACATTGAATGAAATCTGATTCCATTTTTATCTTATTTTTATCTTTTTATCTTTTTATCTTATCTTAAACTTGGTCACATCAGCAACTTCTAAGAGCTCACCAAGCATGGTTACTTTTCTTGCTGCCACAGCCCAGACCATCTGGAGCAATTAAATTAAAATACCTTTAATATGAATTCATGTGTGGGACTCCCAATCCTATCTTCTGGCTCAACGTTATACTCCCGAGCCAAAGGCACCGTTGGTTTGTAGAGTCGCCAGTGCTTCTCTCCTTCCAGCTGAAGGATGAACACCTGCAAAAGACCAGGAATCCAAAGTTTTTTGGGGGGCCTAAGGAAGCCCTGCTCCCCCTCACACATTCAACTCATCAGGTATTTTAATTTATCTTCTGTCTTGCCAAGTCTGTGGAACCAAGCCAGAAACCAGGGACAGAAATAGTGGCACAGATTGCTTTTCTGACAAATACATAATAATTCTGACAAAGGTTTTCCCCTTCCCTGCTCTCATTTACTCCACAGCATGGCAAATACAACTCCTTTCACATTCCCTTTTAGATATCTAAATGCTGAAATTTACATTTGAACTAGATTCTTGTACTCTATTTAGAGACAACAGAGAGAAGAGTTGTGAAGTGTGATCTGTTTTATCCCAAATTTGGAAATCCTGTTCCTTGCCAGTCACTTAAACTTAGCCATAACTATTAGTAGACTTTTTCATATAAGGAAACACTTGCAAATAATTACCCTAAGTCTTCAGTGGAAAAACAGAACTCTTTCTAGACTGTTTATGGTGGAGGAGAGGTGGAAGCACACACAGAGGCATCCACTGCCAGGAGCCCACAAAGGGTCTCACAGACAAGGTGGTGTTGTCCTACCTCAACATCATCATAGTGAGGGGGAAGGCCCTGAGACCCCTGGGGGGTGATGTAAACATTGGATCCCACCAGAGACCCAAAGTAACACTCCAGCTTCTCCTGAATCTTCCACAGCTCCTCCTATTAAAAAAAAAAAAAAATTAAAAATTGTTACTACTGAAGAGCTCAGCCAAGCCTGGCTGCCACAAGCCCATCACTGGTGAAGAATGGTGACATCCCCACAGGAACACACAGCCTGGGAAGCAGTTTCTCCTCAAGGCAAGTATTGTAGTAGCAAAGGAGATCTACCATGATGAAAATCATGGGTAAGCCAAAAATTCTGGTGCCTCAACAGAACACTGATTGCTGTCTTTCCTGTATCAACTTCAGGCTGCAAAACCAGGGAAAAACAAGGCTGAACAAAGGAGAATAAACCACCCATCATCCCACCTGCATCAAAGAGAGAATAACACAAAGGCTAGACACCTATTACAAGTGACTCCAATTGCTTGGGAATATTCAAGCACAAACTTTACTCATCCATTCCCAACATGTGACAGGGAAACATCAGGAGATGCCAACAACTGAATCAGTCAGCGACCCTACACTGTGTATTTGGGTTCTTATCTGGGCTCACAATTGGACTGTGCTGAGACCCTGGGACAAAAAAAAAGACTGCCTAAATCAAAGTACCTACAGGTATCCAAGTCCTTTACAACTGTACAGCACCACTGTCTCCTTCCCATACACAGAGACTGAGGACACTCAGCTAAAATGGGATGGTCACTTCCATGGTGAAATTCGATGCTAATCCATTGGCAAGAATGGTGGTGTGTCCTGGAAACACCTGACATGGTTTCACACCTCACCCTTGATTAAAGGGGAGGGGTACAAAAGCCCCTGTTTGCACAAGGGAAAAGCGAGGCAGAAGAGGCAATTTAAGCACACATGCCCAATCATCAATTATGTGCCTTTAAAAACAATACTTAACATTACAGAAAAACATTATAGCATGAATCTGACTTTGCTCTTACTGCAGAGCACTGAGACATGATGGATGGGCAGTGCAGAAGTATAAACTGTGTTTTAATACAGTTCATGCAAGGATTTCAGCAGGTCATCAATGCCAACCTCCCCTGGGGACAGATACAAAGCCATGTCTGGTGCCACTCAGCAAAAGCTACACATTGTAAAGCAAGCATTAACAACAATGAAACAATCCCACCTTAAATCTCTGAGGCTGATGAAACTGTATTGTTGCCTTCTTCTGGTCAAAATCCTTCTTCAGCTGCACGTAATTCACTCTGCCTTCTTTATTTAAAACCTTCTTTTTCCCATTCACACACCTGCAGACATTCACATCTTGTCCATAGTACAAGCCCTGGCCGCACAGCTCCTTCAAGTGTGACAGCTGGAACAGGGACTGGTAGTAAGCAGCCACCAGGACATCATTTCTCCGAACAAGCAGTGGCTTTTGCTCCCAGTACTCCCTGAAAAACACCTCTTCTTCAATGGGAGAGATCAGGCTCTTGAAGAGGCTGTCTGGGCTCTCAAAACTCAGGATGGATGGAGAACCAGCTGCATCCAACTTGGGCCGTTTACACTGTGCCTGTGCTTCCTTGGGCACATCAGCAATCTTCCCTCCTTTCTTGGGCATCTTCCTGTCCAAGAGGAGAGAGAGAGAAAGAGAGAGACCCCCATCAGCCAGCAACACAACCTCAAGAGGTCACAGGCCCAGGGCAGCAGCTCTTACCTTATCCAGGGGGATATCAAAGTATACTGGGAGCAGCTGTGGCTTCAGGTGCTCACTTACTGCTCCCAAAGGCCTCCAATCCCCTCTCAAACCTCAGCAAACTCCAAAGGGCTCTGCTGGGAGCCATTCCTCACAGGAGCTCACATCCCACAGCTGAGTTTATACTGAAGAACATGTGATGAAACCCAATGGATCATTACCAATGCAGGAACCCACCCACACAAAGAACCTGTGAGCAAGTGGTCATCTGTAGCAACAGCTGCAAATTATTGGGAAAATAAAAATCAACTCAGCTTTAAGAGATTGAGTGGCAACATGCAGAGGGAGGTGGAGAGAGGGGGCAGGATCAAAAACTTGTGTTCTTATTACACTTCCTTCAACAGTAACAGTTTACAAAAGAAGGAATGTTGTTAGGCCTTTCTGTTGATGCTATGTAATTACTAAATCTACAAGCTTAACACTTGTAAAATGCACCGGTTTAAAAACCAAAATGCCAAGATTCTGCTTTAATTTCTGCCAAGCTGTCAAACTTCATGGTTTATGTAGAATAAAAATAATTCTATCATACAAGTAAAGACATTTAATTTTAAAGCTGAAAATAATTTACTTTGTTTTTCCACGGTACATTGTGTACAATTATGCGAGAACAAAAAAGTTAACTCACAAATGGTTTAGGTGCCAAGTTCTCAGGAAAGTTAAAGCCCAAATCGAGTTAACAGTAGGTCTAAACCATGTGCAGGCAGACTTGCCAAGAGTCTGCTCCAGCATCTCCTCCCCCAGAGCAGCAGTAGAAGCCTGCCTGGGGAGCTGAGCTAAGCACACTGAGGATGAGCCAGCACCAAGCCCTGGAGCAGCACAGCCTGGCAGCCAAGTGTTCTGAATCCTCCTGGGCTGGCCAACCCAAACTGACTCTAGGCACGTCTGAGCCAGTCTGAGAAGCCAACCCAGGAGGAGCCAGAACCTGCTGATGCTTTCATTTCCCAGTAAAAATGGCAGCTTTACTTCCAAAAGCAAATGCTATCAATGTACTGAGATTCTTTTACTTGTACAGACCCCTTATCCTGAAACCTAAACCCCAGTTCTGGTATTTCCAGGCAGCACTAAGTTCTCCTGTGCAGCAGGACACCCTGCTGCTCCCCCAGCTCCTGGGGCAGCCTGTCCCTCAGTAGTAACCTGTGGTCACCTCAGTCCTGCAGGAGGGAATTCACATCACCACATTCCCAGCAGGGTGGACATTCCCAGCAGCAAGAAGTCACTGTTCTACATGAGGCAAGGGAATGCATAAAAAAATTAAAGACTGGAAATTAGTCCCTTGTTGGCAGCAAGATCTGAAGATGCTGCTGGCACTAGGATCTAAAACTGGCATTCCCCAAATGTCAGGAACACAAATGCAACCATTCCTGATCTGATGGTTTTGAATTCCAGACCTAAAGCAGCCATTTCAACCTCTCAGCTCGCTCAGATTGATCTAAAGAAGTTAAATTCACATATATACTGTTCATATATACTGGTGCTTCATTTACACCACGTGCTTCTCTGTAGTGTTTTATTAGTTATTTACAACTGCAAACCCACCAAATGGTTTGGGTTGGAAGAGATCACCTGGCACAAGCCTCTGCCATGGGCAGGGACATCTCCCACTCCATCTATTTGGTCAAAGCCTTATCCAGCCCAGCCCTGAACACTGCCAGGGATGGGGCAGCCACAAGTTCCCTGGGCCAGGGAAGCTGCCAGGGCCGCACCAGAAAAAACCCTCCCTTCTATCCAATCTATATTATACTCTTATTATCCCCTACCCTCTTACAATGTAAAATCTTTCCCCCTTGTCCTGTTGCTGCAGGCCCTGGTGAAAAGTCTTTTCTCTGTCTCTCATACAGCATTTAACTACTGCAAAGATATCCCTGGAGAGCCTCCTCTTCTCCACGCTGAACCAGCTCAGCCCTCTCAGCCTGTCTTCCCAGCAGAGGCGCTGAGCATCTGGGTGGCATCCTCTGGATTGGCTCCAACAGGTCCCTGTCCTTCCCTGCTGGGACCATCTCCCCAGCTGGGATCTCTGGCTCCAACAGGTCCCTGTCCTTCCCATGGACCATCTCCCCAGCTGGGATCTCATGCGAGCGGAGCAGCGGGGCGCGATCCGCTCCCTCACGCAGGCCGCGATCAGCGCACGGCCGGCCCGGTGCCATTTCTCACCTCCCCACACCCCCAGGTGCTTCTGGGCAGGGCTGGAGCACGATCCCAGCGGCAGACGGGGACAGCTGCTGTGGCCAGTGTCGCCAGTGTCACTCGCACAGGGACACAGCGCCCGTTCCCGCACGGGGACTCGGCTGTGGGGAGCAGCGGGAGCACGGGCGGGCACGGCGGCTCCGGGACACGCGGTCCCGCCGCCGGCCCTCCC